TAATGTGATTTTCAATTAAAACATTTCAGCATACGCAATCTCAACATTCTATATTATTTTTTAAAAAAGGTTTTCTTTATATATTATATTAACTTAATTTAATGGAATTTATTTTAAATTTAAATGAATATCATGTTTGTTTTAAATAGATGCAAAACCATATTTTTTTACATATTTTTTATATCCAAACTGAATTGGCAAAACCACTATGATGATGCATTAAAACATGTATGATGATAATTAAAATAACCATGATTTCCTGTTAAAACATTTAGCGCATGGGGATATTAGATTTTCAGTAAAACATTCAGCGAAATTATGTTTGCCAAAATAAGCGAAAATTTGTTTTGAGATTGTTCGTTGATCAAAGAAAAATTCAATCTGAAACTTCATTGCCGCGAAAAACTTAATCTGAATCTTCATGCCGAGAAATTTCGTTTCCCAAAACATGCGAGATCTTGGTCTTTGATCAAGGAAAAACTCAATCTGAAGCTTCATCGTTAACAGGAGTTAATCGAAACACAATACAAATAATTTTAAGAAGGTACTATCGAACGAATATAACACTTTTTATGAATTTTATTTAAATATATATACTGATTATTAGTCCAGTCAACATTTAAAGTTCAATGTTGCATATACTATTTTTAAGTAGTTTCTAGGCTTTTTAAATGCTTTTCTTATTCAAATGGTTTTACAAGGAAGGTCTGCAGGCAAATTTGAGCTAAAAATTTTTTTAGCTTGCAAGAAGAATCAATATTGTTCTCTGTTTAATTTAATTTGTTTAAATAGAGTTGATTGATGTTTGTTAAGAAATAAATGTTTGTTTGTTCTTGGTTTTTTACTTATTTGTTTTCAGATTCTTATGAACTAGGCAACTTAGCAAAGCAAGATTTGTTTTATTTTTCAGTGCAATTGGAAAGTGCTGAAGTGCTTTTTAGTCATTTCAAATCAATTGTTTCTTTTTTTAAATAGAAGGGTTAATAATAATAAAAATTTTTAGACAGTCGAACTGTTACTTATTTGAGTAAGTCTAATATTTTGTTTTATTTTATATTAGATTTATTTTATATTAGATATATATTATTATGGAAAACTGACTGTAATTTATGACAGGTAAGTTTATATACATAAATGTGCCTATATTTCAGTGTATTTTATATTTCTCTGTATCTATATAAATGTTATTTCAAAGAAAAAGTTAAAAAAAATATAAAAAATTTGAATATATATACATACATTCATATATTACTTTTGACTGACATTGCTTCATTTTTTATGCAAGATTCTGCATTTATTATTTTTGTGCATTAAGAATGTGCCTGAAGGTAAAAATAATTTTGCATTGTAGTCTAAATTCTTTGCTAAATTAAAATAATGTAAATAAATTTTGTTTTATACTTTTTTTATACTTTAAATAAACAACTATAACTCATATAAACTTATAAAAATATATGAGTATCAACAAATCTTAATTTAAAATATATTCTTTGATATGAAAAGATCACAATTTTTTAAAATTATTTTACCTTCATTTATTCAGTTGTAACAGTTGTATAATCACTGGTAATATGTTTAATGATAAGAGATGTATAATATCAGGCTCGAAGAAGTTATTAGTGTAAATGGTTCAAGGTGACTTGAAATTGTTATCATATGAAAGAGATAGATCTAGGCCAGATAAAATTAATTGTCGCTGAATTATAAGAAATTTTGCCTGATGAACAGAAAACTTACTTGCCAGAATTCAGTGTCAAGCGGTGTTGATGTCTATTATTTGATTTTACACACTTTAAAATAAAGCAAAGTATGAGTTATACTATTTATAGTAACAAATAATAACAGTTTCAAATTTGAGTGATTTTAATTTTAATTTTTTTTTATTTTTGTTTTTTTAAACATAATTGTGTTCATTTTTTTTTAGTTGTCTTTATCATCACTTGATTATTTTGCTTACTGTTGAAACATGGTTTTAATTTTGTAAATTTAATACAATGTGAAATTTACTATATTAATCATTTGTCAACAGTTAGAGAGAAGCTGGAACTCAACTAAGAAATGCTGGAAATTAACTTTTAGTTAAGGTAAAATTTTAGGGGATCTTTGTAAATGAAGGGGGGGGGGGGGGAGGGGGAGTCGTAACTAAAAACTTCTAAAAACAAGAAGAATATTGTAGTTTTGCGCATTTAATATCGAGTTATAAAGTTATTTATGTGTTTAACTAATTAGTTAGCTTAGTCTGTATTTGCAACACTTTTGAGGAAAGAAAGAAAACATTCTTATATATGTAAATCATTGTTTTACATTTTATTACTTTGGTAAAAAGTCTTAATCAAAAACATGATTACTCTTAATAAAAAAAAACTCTACTCACCTCGCCACCAATGAAGCAAAAAGAGGGGAGAAACCTCTTTATTAGTATCAAAATATTTAGGAAAATTAAATTTCGAGTAACGAAAGGAATTTTTAGCAAATGGTGGCAAATTACTGTTTACTAAAAATTAATGAAATAAAGAGGCCAAACAAATAATGTAGAAATGGTCTGTGTTGAACAGACTTAATAAGACTCGGGTCGGGTCAGCTTGGTTTACAAATTTTTATGTCTACTTATCTGTAATAATTTTTATTTTAGGTTTGTCTTATGATGCATTAAGTTTGCATATTTTTTCAAATTTGTTATACGCATGTTTGATTGTAAATTAATTTTTTTTTTGTTTGAAACTTTGTACCCAGTTGCTTAGTTATTTATAATAAACTTAGTTATTTTTAATAATTTATTTGGTTATGTGCATTTAACATTTTTAAGTTAATAATTTTTTTTTCTAAAGAAAAATTAATCAAGGGAATACCAAAAAATTGATAACTCCTGTACAATATAAGTTAACTTCATTTTAATCTTAATGGTTCATGTTATAAAAATTATTACAAAAATTTAGTTGATACTTTTGTCAATTTAAAGCATGATAAAGTGTTATTATTTTGTGTCAGTAACTTATAACGTATTGTGTTGAACTTAAAAAGGTCGATGAAAATGGTTCTGCCTAACACTGTTATGACCTATGTCAGTTGTAAATTACTCAAATAATGTTAAGTAGTAATTGTAAATGTTAAGTAATAGTTGGTAAATTATTTTACCTCCTCATACTTTTTATGTTAATTTTACAGATGGATTAGTTTTTTCTAGCTGAAGGCGTTTTTCTAAAAAGGTCTTAGTTAAGGTTTTGCAACATTAAATTGTGGAAAACAACCACTATAAATTAATTATGTTACAGACCGACCAAAACCCGTATTACGGGTTGCTTTTTGCTACTTTTATTATAATTTTTGTAACGTTTTTTATTCGACCTGACGATGCTGATTGCTATAATTTAACGAAATATTGTTTAATTTAAAAAAAAAGAGTCGCAGAGATGTATATATGTGTGTGTATATATATATATATATATATATATATGTATATGTGTGTATATATATATATATATATATATATATATATATATATATATATATATAATACATATACACACATATATATATATATATATATATATATATATATATATATATATATATATATATATATATATATATATATATATATATATATATATATATATATATATATATATATGCATACATATATATATGAAATTTATTTACTTATTAGAATAAGTAAATAAATTTCAAGCAATTTAGTAGTGTTTAAGCCTTGCCACCAACTCCCAAAAAATTAATAGTTATTAATATTTTTTACGTAAATTTACGATATGTTACGTTTAAGCGTATTACGTAATTTTGGCACAAATATTTGGCAATCATTGCATAAATGGTACAAAATAATTTATTATATTTATTCCAGAAATAATATAATTTTTTATGCTTTTTGATTAATTTTAATTTTTATATCGCAAAATCTCAAAATATACTTTTTCACTAGTCTTCAAAGTTTGCAAAATTTTTAAAATTTTTAAATAATTATGCTTAATAATTATGCGAAATTTTTAAATAATTATGCTTAAGTGTTGAAATTTTCACAGATTGTTCTTCATATAATTAAAATTCATTTGAGAAAAGTTTTTTTTCAATGCATTTTAGATTTTGAAATTTCGTTATATTTGTGTTATTTAGCTCGCTTACTTTTAAGTGTTTCATGCATAATTTCTAAAATATTCATTTGTTTTCATTTATTTTCGTTTAGATGATTTATGTTACTAAGATTAAAAAATGTTCAAAATGCTATGCTAAAATAACGAGTAGATTTTGAGTAATTATTTCACAAAAATTCAATTATTTTCAATTTTTTTGAAGTAATCAAGACTAAGATTTTCAAATTCGATAGCATTTTTGAAAACTATTTTAATTATGTAATTATTTTAATTATGTAATTATTTTATAAAAACGAAAGTAATCTTCAGTTTCAATCATATTTAAATATATTTCTTGGGTTAGAAAACATTGTGTTAATTTAAAAAAATCACTTTTCGTTTAATAAAATTAACACAGATAAATTAAACTACGCATAAATAAAGAAAAATTTTAACACAGATAAATTAAATTACGTATATAAATTAAATTACAGATAAATTAAATTACAGATAAATAAAATTAACACAGATAAATTAAATTACGCATAAATAAAGAAAAATTTTAAAAAATATAAAAAAATTTTAGTCATAAATATTAATCTTAAAAGATAAATTAATCTTTAGAATATTTTAGAAAATTTTACTTTTGCTACTTTTAGTTTTACTTCAACTTTTTACAAGTAATATTTACTTAAGTCAATTAAAAAAATAAATAACTTCATAATTAAATATAACTTATTCTATGTAATCCAAAAAATGAATAAATATTTGTACAGTATACATTTAAGTAACATAAATTCATCTAATAATTTACCAACGGAACTGACCTTTTAAAAAGATTGAGATATTTATTGTGAAAATATGACGCATACTTATAATTAGTTTCGTTTTAAAATATAGTAAAAAGTTGAATCTTATACAACCTTCATCTCCACTCCTTGATAATGCTAGGTTTTATGCTTAAGTTAAACAAACTTTAAAAAGTTGACAAAAATACGAGCAAGTTGCATAGTATATAAAGTGGACTTAAAGAACATTGACTGTTCTTTTTTATTATAATTTTTGGCTACTGATTTTGAAAGATACCAATCTTTATTTGCACTAAACACCATTTTAAAGAGGTATGAAAATAAAAAAATGAACTTTCAAAACCATATATATATATATATATATATATATATATATATATATATATATATATATATATATATATATATATATATATATATATATATATATATATATATATATATATATATATATATATATATATATATATATATATATATATATATATATATATATATATATATATGTATATATATATATATATATATATGTATATATATATATATATATATATATATATATATATATATATATCTATATCTATATCTATATATATATATATATATATGTATATATATATATATATATATATATATATATATATATATATATATATATATATATATATATATATATATATATATATATATATATGTATATATATATATATATATATATATATATATATATATATATATATATATAAATATATATATATATATATATATATATATATATATATATATATATATATATATATATATATATGTATATATATATATATATATATATATATATATATATATATGTATATATATATATATATATATATATATATATATATATATATATATATATATATATGTATATATATATATATATATATATATATATATATATATATATATATATATATATATATATATATATATATATATATATATGTATATATATATATATGTATATATATATAAAATGTATGTATGTTTGTATGTGGGTGTGTGGTTATGATTTTAATGAAACAAAATTTTAAAAACTTAAATTAATTGTTAAAAAAAACAAAAACAATCTACAAAACCAAATCAAATAAATGAAGATATTATCTATTAAAAATATAATTTGTTTATATTGCTTAAAAGTCAGTTTAAAAATAAAATGAAAGTAAAACCAGAGATCAAAAACAAAAAACTTTTGTTATGCTTTTTTGATATAAAAGAGCAATCAAAATTTTTTTTAATGAGAAAATTTTATTTGTTTTAAAATTTTATTTGTTTTAAAGTTTTCAAGCAATATTTTGTAATACATTTGGTGGCAAATTTTATCAACATTTGAACTTAAAGCATAAAATATTAAAGATATTTAGTTGATATACATCAAACCATTAGTTTCTTTAAAAATTTGTTTTGTACAAGAAAAGCTGTTTTTAAAACATTTTGCGCGAGTTTTAAAACTTAATGCTGTGAGTTTCTGATTAAGGTAAAGCGATTTAAGCATTGCTCTATAAGTGCTTTTCCCTGTAGTATTTGCATAGTTTATATGATAATGAATAAATAATATAATTGTGATAATTAGGGTTTACCTAATATATTTTTTGTTTTCTAAAATTCCTTTTGCATTTAGCAGCTTAAGTGGAATTGAAATGATTTTACATTATTTCTCAAAGAAAGACTTTTTTGAATATATATACAAAAAAAAAAATATCGAAATGAAATAGATATTTTTGTGAAATTTTATTTCATTAGTTGCAAAAAAGCAGATACCAAGACATTTATTAATTTGTTTTCAATTTTCATTAAATCTGGCAGTACTTGTTTTAAGTTTTCCACTCACCTCATTCTAAACTTGTCATAAAGGTTTGTATTTATTAAATAAATTTAAATTGTAACTTTTTTATCTGCATTTTTTCAAAACTTCTCACATAAATTTTTATCAGTTCTCTAGCTTTTCACATAAATTTTTATCAGTTCCCTTTCAACTTTGTTTTTTACTTCTTGATTTTAGTGATTTATTGTTTGCTTCTGTTGAAATTTCGATAATTATTTGAATATATTTGTAATTCAAGGTAATTATATTTTTTTGGCGTTTAATACTGCTTCACAGAAGACAAAATTAGAACTTTTTACACTTTGTAAAATGTTTATGCTTATATTATCATTTAGACTAATATTGCCCTAGTAAGAATTATTTCCTGTTAATTAAAATTGATATTATCCCAGTCTTGTCAAAGCCCCAGTACATCAAAACATTCTAGTTTGCCAGAACATATAATTGATATTGTCCTAGTCTATATGGGATGTTTTTTGAAGTAATTCAAATTATTATTGCTGAGAAGTTGTTTTTTTGTTTCCTTTTTTGCTACTCTTTTATTTTATATATATTTAAAAATATTGGCAAATGATCAGAAACATTGGTTTTTGTTATTAATTATTTTTTTATCAACATTAAAAGTGTTGGTATTCAAAATGTTATCAATTTACGATTATAAACGATTTGTGATTCTGGTCAGAAAGAAATCTTTAACAAAAAATAAACTCTTCCTCTTTGCTTATTCGTTTCAAAATTATTGAATCAAAACATTAGAGATTGAGGTTTTATTTATTTTGAAAATATGCTTGCTAACGCTCAACTGCAGTTATACAAAAAACAGTTGTTTCACAAATAAAATTTAAAAGTTCTTTTCTGCGCAAAAGTTTACTTAAATTACATCAAGAGAATTATTTTCATTATTGTTTTTTTAAAAGTTGCTAACTTTAGTTGGATAAAAAAAAAGAGTTTATTTAAATAATACTTGAGTGGGGGATCAAAGGGAACCTAATTTGGATGAAAATAAGGTCTATTAATTTCAGAAGAATTAATTTCAATAAAATAAAATATATCCGGAATATTTTTGTCTTATAAGTTTGAAGTAATCAAAAGTATTTTCAAAAACATAAAAACCTTAACCAATTTAATTGAAGCCTAATTTTATGTTTTCTCTAAAGTTATGTTTAACAAAAAAAAAGTTTATATTTATGTTTTTTTATAAAAAAAAACTTTGATTAACGTTTTGCATACCACTTTTTGCATAGCAAAATTATCTGTTATTTGCAATATATATATATATATATATATATATATATATATATATATATATATATATATATATATATATATATTATATATATATACAAATAGTATTGCGTACTAAGGTATATATATATAATATATATATATATATATATATATAATATATATATATATATATATATATATATATATATATATATACATATAGCCTGACAAATAGCCTGACTCGTAGTGGAGTGCTGCTACATCGACTGAGGGTTTGGGATGGGGAAGCAATCGTTTTATTCATCATTCTTTTTTTTTCTTTTTCTTTTTCGAAAAAAACGGTATAGCTTAAGGTAAGCAGAAAAAGTGAGCAAATGCTTATCAAAACACGTTTTAGTAAGTGTCTATATATATATATATATATATATATATATATATATATATATATATATATATATATATATATATATATATATATATATATATATATAATATTATATATATATATATATATATATATATATATATATATATATATATATATATACATATATATATATATATATATATATATATACATATATATATATATATATATATATATATATATATATATATATATATATATATATATATATATATATATATATATATATAATTGCTAGTTTCATAAATAAAAAACAGTTTGAAATAGTGTTTTTACAATGTTCAACATTGTTTTTCTTTAACTTTAAATATAGAACAAGCCATCAATATCATCACAAACAGTTTGAAACTTTTATTTTATATATTGAACATCATCAATATTATCTAAAACAGTTTAAAAAAAACAGTTTAAAAGAAGAATGTTAAACTTGTTTTCAAATAGCCATATGTTGTTTAAAAAATATCATATAAAAAACAATTTAGATTTATCGAGTAAAATTGCGTCTTTATCAGATAAAGACGCATTGTTTCTAATTAAATTTAGTTTTTTTTTTTAATTTCCTTAAACTAGGGGAAGGTTGCGTATTTTGAGCATGTTAACAGTGTATTGTTTTTGCAGCCGAAGTATTAGAATATTTATATTTATTTTTGCTTATTATCATAATTTAATCTTTCCTCTTAAAGAATATAAATGAATAGTTCATTAAAAAAATCTTCCTACCAAAAAATGCGTTATTTTCAACACACCCAATCATCTCATCTTAGAAAACCAGTTTTTTAAGATGAGCTTTTTTTAATGGAACTCAAAAGAACTCAAAATAGCATAAAAAAAATATGCACAAAATAAAATAATTAATACGAAATTGTGTCTCTCCAAGGGCAATAGTTAAGTAAAAAGTGATTATCTCAACCATAAAAAAAAATTCAATAATAAATCTTTCCTATCTCTAAGAAATAAACGAGACTATTTTTTGAAAGAACTTTCGCTCTTGAAATACCAAAATAAAGCTCCGCGGAGAATAACTTTAAAATAACGCGCTTTTCCTTATAATAAGTCGCATCTCATCTTGAGCGTCTAAAAACGTAGCATCTTAAGTAATTTTACCAAGTACTATTATAATTTAAATAGCATGACTACAGCTAATGTATTATCTCATGTAACCCATGGAATTAGCAGTGGATAAGCTTAAAATATTTAGGATGTAATAAGTTTTTGATGATTTTGTTTCGTTCTGACGTAATTACATAGTATTGAATAATAAAAAATTATAACGGGGATGGTAAATTTTTTTACCAGTAAAAAAAATCAAACAATATAAACTATACAACCGAAAAATTAAAATAAATAACACCGCCGATCTTGTATGAATATCCTTAACCAAAACAGTTTGCGAAAAAGCCATTAGTCTATCCGTTAAAGAGGTTATACCATCTTAGGAACCTGCTCATCTTACGCAATCTTCCTCTATATGTGGCTATATAAAAATAAGTTTAATATTTAATATTTAAAACGAATGTTTGTATATATATATATATATATATATATATATATATATATATATATATTATATATATATATATATATATATATATATATATATATATATATATATATATATATATATATATATATTTAAACAATTTAAAATGTATTCTACAAAAAGAGTGCTCAATGTTCTTAAAAGAACAGAGCAATTACAAATTAGTAGAAAATCACTTAGCAAAGTTTTTTTCATTTAACACTGTGTTTCATCAATAAAGACTCATCAGAAAATTTTCTGATGAGTCTTTATTGATGAAACACAGTGTTAAATGAGAAAAAATTTTGCAAAGTGATTTTCTACTAATTTATATATATATATATATATATATATTATTGCTGAACTCAATAATAGTAGTATTAGTAGTAGTAAAAGTAGTAGTAGTAGTAGTAGTAGTAGTAGTAGTAGTAGTAGTAGTAGTAGTAGTAGTAGTAGTAGTAGTAGTAGTAGTAGTAGTAGTAGTAGTAATAGTGCTTATTTGACCGTGTTTGACACAAAACTCTTGGCGGCCGTTGCAAGCGAGGTAATAGCGAGAAAGAGTCGCAGCACTTTGTTTCCTAAGAAAACATGAACTGAAGTATATGCAAATATCAAACGTACGTAAACTTCAAATGATGTAATGTTGAAACATACTTGAGCATATATCAAGTTTACAGTTTGACTTTCACTTTTTAATAAGTTTTACAGTTTTTATCTTTTTTTTTTCAATTATTATATAGTTTTAAAACTTTGATAAACAACGCTCCAGCGTGGCCGAGCGGTTAGCGCGCAGAGCTTGGGATCAAAGAGCCATAGTTCGAATTCTACCTCTGATGATTCTTTTAAATCTTTTTTAGATCTTTTAAAATGCAAAATACTTGTGAAGTTTTATAGAGATTATATATGTTACGATATTATACACTTTAACAAACGAAAAGATTCTTATAAAAGCTAAAAAATTTTAAAACATCAAAATACGAGGGGAAATTTGTTGCGTATGTGTCATAATTGAGACTTATGTTATTTTACTTTTACATTTCATATTTTTTTACAATTAAGTTGAGTTCGTGCAAAAAAATTGAGTATACAGCATGTTTATATATTGAATATAAAATCTATAGAACTATAAAGTTGCTTTGTTTTAGCATTTTTAACAAAAAAATAAAAAAAAAGCTAATTGATGGTTTGAACTTGCTAGGCGGCGACCTTAACTTTTTTTTAAAACATTTTTAAATAAAAATATAATTGAAAATATTAATTTTATATTTGAATTAAACCATTTTATTAAATCTATTATTTTTAAAAGTAATTAAAAGTTTAAATATTAATATAATAAAGAAATTTTTCTGACTACCATGCAAGACTATATCTATCTATCTATCTATCTATCTATCTATATCTATATATATCTATATATATCTATCTATATATATACATACATATATATATATATATATATATATATATATATATATATATATATTATATATATATATATATATATATATATATATATATATATATATATAGGTTTGGCAAAGACCCATATTTTACGGGTCCGGAAACCTAGGATATATATATAAGGAAAAAGTATAGAAATATTTGGTGTGGAATCGGCTTACAAAGACTGGTATTTTCACGGGTTTCGTCACCTAGTCTATATAATAATGCTGACCTTAGTAGTAGAAGGAGTTGTAATTTTCATTCAAGTATGTTTGACACAGAAATCCTTGCAGCCACTGTAACCTACGTAATAGCCAAAAAGAGTTGAAGCACTTTTTTTTTTTTTTTTTACAAGAAAATGTAAACAAAAGTATTTGTAAATATCTGACTTAAATAAGTTACATAATTTGAAGTTTATATATGTAAACTTCAAATTATGTAATGTTCAAACATATATCAAGTTTAGCAGTTCAACTTTTACTTGATAATTGCATTGCGGTAATTTCTCTATAATTTTGTTTTATAGCATTTATATGCCGTTATATAAAGTCTTTTGTTTGTTATTGAGTTTTAAAATAATAGTCAGGCAACACGTCTGTGTGGACGAGTGGTTAGCTCGCAGAGTTTCAGTCGCATAACGTTGTTGTTCAAATCCTACCACTAGAACCTTTTTTCTTTATTTTTCTAAAATACAAAATAAAACACTTTTAAAATTTTATAGATATTATATGCATAACATTTGTAAAGATATTATATACTATAACAAACGAAAGTGAGAAAATTTTTAAAAAAGCTTCAAATCTCTAAAAACATCAAATACAGGCAGAACTTTGGGAAGTCAGACAAGAAAAGTTTGGTTATTTAAAAAAGTTAATTATGGCGAAAAACGTTTACGATTAGCATGTTTGAGGACGGGGGTAATAACCTTTTTAAAAAACAATTATCAACCATATTCAACAAATTATCAAACAATTTACCTAATTCAAGATAAGTCAAATATATTCTGTTAACCCGTAAAAAGATACAATAAAGTTTTTTCTGATTGCAGAATTATAAAAATAATAATAAATTCATTTTTTTTTTTTACTTATAAGTAGTGGCCTAATTTAGTCAGATTAACTTCAAGTTTAATTTATTAAATTCAAACATTTTATTTTGTTTTATTAAGTTGGTGTACTCTATTATTGCAACATGGTATCCAGTTTTTAATAAATGGTTGATAAGTTGTTTGATTTTCAATGCAATGATCCCGATGTTTCATTGCTTAAAAAAAAACAAAAAACATTAATTACCATTACCAAAAAAAAAATTACAACCTCCTTAGGTTTTCTTACCCCCTAGTTCGTTAAACGCTTGGATTTTATATCTTTATGATATAACACAAAAGTATTCATCCTATGATGATGGTTCTATGAAAATTAATCTATGGGATAATAAGGAAAAAATAACAGAGGCTGACCTAAATAAAATAAAAAAATTATAAGTGAAAAGCTAAGTTATTCATATAACTATCATTATGTTTATAAAACATACTATATTATGTTTTATAAATACATATCATATAACTATCATTGTATATATAAAACATACAATACATTTTATATTTTTCTGCTCGTTCTTTGTGAAAGTAAAAATAAATTGATCTTATATTAGTCATAGTTGTAGAAAAGACTTAAGTTCTCTTAGGTGAATAAGTATTCAAAAGATTATGTTGAACAACTGGGTAGAAAAATTTCTCTGGATCTCTTGAGTCAATATGTATTAGGCTGTATTTGATATTTCTTCGTTCTGGTGTAGATGATATAATAACCAAACTATGCATACAAAGATTAATAATAAAAACGTCAGCAGTACTTTTAGTTGCAGTTGCTGTCAATGCGGATACTGGAATTCTTTTAGGAACAAGTGATCGCAATTCAAGAGTCTATTATAACGAAACCGAAATGCCACTAATTGTGTACTTGAACATCTCCTATAACAATCACAGACAAATATGGTATAAATAAAATCATGTAAACCATTTCATGTAAATCACAAGATTTTACTTATATAATGTTATAGATAATGTATTTATATTTTCTTTTAATGAGCGAAATTTTTTTTATTATAAAATATTTTTTGTATTACAAGAAGGTTTGACATTAAAGTTGTAAATATCAATGTTTACTTTACGTAGCAATTTAATCTATATAACAAAATCACATACCACTTTTTTGCACAATGGTTTTCATCAACTGCAATTGCAACAAGTTTCTGATTAAAGGCAGATTTATTGACAATTGATCTAAAAGTTGTTACAATAGTTTCAGGTGAACAAATTATTACATTTGCTTCGTTGTAATTTATCTAAAAAAAAACAGTATATACTTATAAACACTGAACAACACTCGATAGTTCAAAAATATATTACTTGAGGCATGCCTAAATTCAATATAAGAATAATATAATATTTCATAATATTAAAGTTGGAAGTTTAATTCAATTAAGTCTTGGTCTTTCAAAATAAATAAACTCTGAGAAATTTCTAATGAGCTCTAAGCAAGCAAAAAATTGCACATATTTATTATTTTTACTCCTAGAGCAATGTTTAAATAAACTATTTTTCTACCATCTATTCAAAAAATATATAAGTAAAATAATGTATATATAAATAGCTAAATAAGTATAACAATAGAGTGAAACAAAATTCCTTTTAAAAGACCTGTATTTTACGGGTAAGGACAGCTAGTTTGTATTAATATATGATAATTCATCATTATGTATTTTTTAAGGCAAAGAAGATGTTATAAGGAGATTATAAGATATATTAATATTATAAGAATTTTGTATTATATATTATAAGATTTTTGTATTATATATAAGAAGATTTTATATTATAAGATTATTTATAATTTGAAATTTCAGATATTCAGCCATTTTTTCTGAACGTACAAAAATAAAAGACGGCCTTCCGAAAATAAAATTAAATCTTAATTTTATATATTCACTATTGCTCTGTTTTTTATGAGCATCGTGCACTTTATTTGTAGAATACACTGACATAATTTGTGAATATATATATATATATATATATATATATATATATATATATATATATATATATATATATATATATATATATATATATATATGTATATATATATATATATATATATATATATATATTATATGTATATATATATATATATATATATATATATATATATATATATATATATATATATATATATATATATATATATATATATATATATATATTTATATATATATATAACATATATATATCAGTGATGTACACTAGACTTTTAGATGTTTGAGTTTTGACACTTCCACACATTTTGCAAATTCCAAACTTTTGTATGTTCATTCTTATGTCAAATGAGAATGTTTTGCAAAAAATTGTGGTGATTGGAGCTTGGGGATAAAAAAAACCCAATTTTCGGGCCCACCCAGCCCTTAACGTGGGAGCAACAAGTTGATAAAATAATTTCTTTAGTATTTTTATCTAAGTTTATAATCATCAACAAATTTCAAATTTCATTTAATAATTTCTTATTTTTGAAAATTATGACCATATAAAGTTTTAACTCCCCTCAATTTGAGGGGGCTGTAAACTTTGAAGGGTTATAAAAACTAAAAACTCAGAGGTTATTGCATGAAATTTGAAATTCGTTGATGAATATAAACTTAGGTAAAAATACTAAATAAATTATTTTATCAACTTGTTGCTCCCATGTTAAGAGCTGGGTGGGCCCGAAAATTAGGGTTTTTTTGTCTCCAGGCTCCAATCACCACAATTTTTTGCAAAACATTCTCATTTGACATAAGTATGAACATACAAAAGTTTGGAGTTTGCAAAATGTGTGTAAGTGTCAAAACTCAAACATCTAAAAATACAGTGTACACCACTGATATATACAGTATTGGACAAAACAAGTGCAACCAAATAATGCTAATTTAGTTTCTTGATAGAAAAGTGCTGCATTTTTTCAATTTATAGAAATAACTATGTAACTGTTTAGAGACAACGTTTTTCAAATTTTATTTATCACAAAGTTCATTATTTGTACACGAAAATTAATAAATTATTAAAAAGTATTAAAAAAAACTGATTTCCTTCTAACTCCATAAAATGTTGACCAAGCTGTATTTCGCTATCACTATTCCTGGCAAATCCTTTGTTGTTGATCACAGCCTTGCATTTTTGAGGCATAGCTTCGATCAGGTAATCAATAAAACTTTGTAGAATCCCTGCCCAGGCCTTTTGGATTTGTTCAAACAGTTGATCCTTATTACGAACACCTTCACGATTAATTGTGCGGTTGATGATCTTCCACAGGTTCTCGATAGGGTTGAGATCCAGAGATTGAGGTGCCCAATCCATCATCGATAGGTGGATATCTTGAAACCACTGCTTGACTACTTTTGCAGTGTGTTTCGAATTGTTGTCTTGCTGAAAAACTCATTTTATTGGCATATTCCATTCAGCATGAGGTATCATAACATATTTCAAGATATTTTTATACATGAAATGGTCCATTATTCCATCAATTCGATGTATTAGACCTAGACCGTTAGCAGAAAAACACCCCCAGATCATTACATTGCCTCCACCATGCTTCATGGTCTTATTGCAGTAACGTAAATCATGACGTTTTCCGGCCAGTCAACGTACACAGCAAATGCAATCGCTCCCAATGATGTTGAACTTCGATTCATCACTGAACAGGACAGTTCGCCATTTCTGCACATTCCAGTCAATATGAGATGTAGCAAACAGGAGTTTTTCCTTCTGGTTCTTATGTAAAATCAGCGGTTTCTTTGCAAGGTGTCGAGAAAACAATCCGGTTTCAACAGCACGTCATCTGATTGTTCGGTCTGATACAGGCTGCTCGAACTGCTTTTGTATCGCGACTGATGATATCCAGGGATCCTTTTTGACAGATCTGACAATCATAGAATTCTCTCTAGAAGTGGTGGAACCACCTTTGTTGACTGCTGTCAACTTCCCCGTAGAACGATATTTGGAACATAGTCTTGATACAGTCCATTTATTCATGCGAGTTTTATCACAAATACTTTTTTGTGACATTCCACCTACGTAATCACCAATAATTTTCTTTCTTAGTTCCAATCCAAGACTGTCAGGAGACATTTTTGCACTTGAAGTCATAAAAATAAAAAAAATAAATAATCACGCTTCTTAAGGCTTACCGTCTTACATTTACCTCGTGATAATACAATAATGCTCTGTGGAACACAATGTTTTGGTTGGATGTGGATTGCATTGATGTAATGAAACACTTGTTGTATTTCACTTCTTGTATTGATGTTCTTCGATAAAACACTTTGATGAAACTCACTTCGATAAACTGTCTTGATAATACTGACGGATTGACTTCCATATACTGACTGAATTACATGTCGGTTTACATTTCTTATATAGTAAAATGAACCTGTGTGAACTTGTTCTGGAAGATTCTAGATGCTTCTTTTTGATGCTTCTGAAAGCTTCTGGATACGTCTGGATGCTTCTTAATGTTTCTGGATACTTCTGGATGCTTCCAGATGCTTCTTCTGGAAACTTCTAAAAGCTTCTGCATGCTTCTGGAAACTTCTGGATACTTCCTTTAATTATTAAAAAACTTTAGTTATTCCTTTGATTATTAAAATTATTCCTTTAATTATTCCTTTAATTATTCCTTTAATTATTAAAAAACCCGTGACATTGACACGGACCAGACTTAAGAAAGTGAAACAAACCAAAAAAGTTGCACTTGTTTTGTCCGCTGCAAAATGGCACTTGTCAACGAAATTCTGCCTGAGTGCTGTTACCTGTCAGCTGATTGTTCATGTCATGGCATGCTATGACTCCAGACTCCTGAACTGTTTGCTGTGGTAGTATAGTTTGTTTCGTTTTTAAGACATGTAAATTTATGAACACTTTTTAGCATCGTTTGATGTTGGTTGCATAAGTTTTGTCTAATACTGTGTGTGTGTATATATATATATATATATATATATATATATATATATATATATATATATATATATATATATATATACTCTTGCATGTCTCTTGCGTGGCATCAAAAAATGTTTCCCATAAACTGTAGTTTTAAAGAGCGCGTTAATAAACCAGACCAGAAAAAGTTTTAAAAATTAAATTTTTTTTTTAATTGATAGACTGCCTGGCCAAACCAAACCCTCAGTCGATGTAGCAGCACTCTCTTGCGAGTCAGGCTATTTGTCAGTTGTTGTAGCAGCACTCCCTTGCGAGTCAGGCTATTTGTCAGTCGATGTAGCAGCATTCCCTTGCGAGTCAGGCTATTTGTCAGTCGATGTAGCAGCACTCCGTTGCGAGTCAGGCTATTTGTCAGTCGATGTAGCAGCACTCCGTTGCGAGACAGGCTATTTGTCAGTCGATGTAGCAGCACTCCGTTGCGAGTCAGGCTATAAGATAGTCGATGTAGCAACATTTACGCATGTTTAAAAAATGTTTTTTATTAAATCAATAACAAAAACACCACTAATTAAAAAAAACTTTCTAGTCGTTATAATTGCGGTTTTTTAAAAATTTTTTAAAAAACAATTAAGTTTAATGTACTTCCGCATAAATTAATTGCTTTGACATTTCGATGACAATCAAAAACAGCTTAAGAGACGAGGTAATTAAAATTGTAGTCGTAAGAGACTTTTTTTACATTAAAATGCTCTTAAAGCTACACTATATGGGTATATATATATATATATTATATATATATATATATTTATATATATATATATATATATATATATATATATATATATATATATATATATATATATATATATATAATATATATATATATATATATATATATATATATATATATATATTATAAATTAGCAGAAAATCACTTAACAAAATTTTTTTTAATTTTACAGTGTGCTTCATCGTAGTCGAAGTCGCAAATGTTTTAACTACTGTAAATTTTCACACATTTGTGGAATTTGCTGAAACTATTATAAAAAGAATTCTTTAGAAATGATTACTTATTCTTTTTTTTATAAAAATATTTTTAAAAAAGGGGGGATTTATTGTAACTATTATTTGAGCTCACTTATTTTTATAGTTTTTTAGGAGAAATTTATTTTCGTGCCTGCATTTAGAAATCAATTCGGATTTTTTGTTTAACAAACATTCTTAGTTTGCATGTGTAATTATTTGGAATTTTTCTTGTAGACATAGTATGCACTTTTTGGAAATATTGTTGTATGCAGGCGCTGTTTTAAGGATGGACCAATTCAGTATAAAATCATCAATATTGTTATTTTTAAGTTCCCATATATATTTTGACAGCATGTTGTTTTTTAAATACTTTTTATTTTGTACTATATATATTATTATACATGCCCAAGCCTTTGTAACACTAAAAGACCATGAACCAAACTTTCAAAACAAACTTCCTTGTAGATTATTGGTTCCCTCAAAAAGTGAGATTGGACACGTAAGCAAAATTGGATAAAATTAATAATATTCTTAGAATTAAATTAAATTTGCAACAGTGGAAAAATACCACTGATGTTATAAATTGGTTCTCCATAATCAAAAATAAAGATCACTCTACATTTATTCAATATGACTTTAATAATTTTTACCCTTCAATAACTGTAGATATTTTAAATAAAACAATCGAGTTTGCAAAAAGCCACACAGTTGTTCCTGAAGAAACAATCTGTATAATAAAACATTGTAGAAAAACCTTACTTTACTTTAATAAGGAAACTTGGAAAAAGAAAAACATACACGACTACTTTGGTGTGACAACGGGCAGTTATGATGGAGCAGAAATTTGTGAGTATGTTGGACTATACATTTTAGATTTATTAAGCAAAATAATCAATATAAATGATTTAGACCTTTATCGCGACAATGGTTTAATAGTAATGCGTAAAAAATCTGGTCTACAGCTCGATAAGATTCGAAAAAATATTATAAAAAATTTTAAAAATATTGGCTTTCAAATCGAAATAAACATATATTTAAAAATTGTAAACTTTCTTGATGTCACATTTAACCTCTCTGAAAATTCATATAAGCCTTTCAAAAAACCAAATGATAAATTAATACAGAAAATTGTAATTGTAAACAAAAAAACAATTGTGCAATGAGTGGAAGTTGTTTATCAAAAAATGTGGTATATAAATGTGTTGTTTCCTCTAAGAATGTACCCGATAAGCAATATATTGGCATAACAGAGGGTGAATGGAAAAAACATTTTGCCAATCATAAGCAATCTTTTAAAAATAAAAAGTATTCAAAAGACACCATGCTGTCAAAATATATATGAGAAATAAAAGATAAAAATATTGATGATTTTATACTGAATTGGTCCATCCTTAAAACAGCGCCTGCATACAACAATATTTCCAAAAAATGCTGTCTATAAGAAAAATTCCAAATAATTACACATGCAAACCAAAAATGTTTGTTAAACAAAAAATCAGAATTGATTTCTAAATGCAGGCACAAAAATTTATTTATTAATTTACTTTTTTGAAAACAACAGAAGGACCTGAAGGCTACTAAGACTGAGTATACATTAAATTTTTTTTTACTGAAATGTTAAATTGTATCAAGTGCTAGACAAGTTAGAACAAAATTGTATTAACTTGAACAAAGCAGTACAGCAAGACGTTTCTTAAACATCAAGACAGACGATGCAGACACCACATTCTCTGATAAACTATTCCACACATTAACAATTTGATTAGAAAAGAAACACTTAGTGCTGTTTAAACAACAATTGTGTTTGTACAGTTTAAAGTTATGACCGCGATTATTCAAGTAAGAATTGAGAAAAAGAATGTTTGATAGGTCAGAGTCCAGTTTACGGTTAAGAATTTTGTAGCATAAAACTAAATCTTTAAACACTCGTCGATATTCTAACGTGTTAAGCTTTAGCATGGCTAGACGCTTATCATAGGAAACTGACCACAGACCAGCAATTCTTTTAGTGAAGAAACGCTGCACTCTCTCAACTTTATTAATCAGGTATATAGTGTGAGATGACCATATTGAAGAGCAATATTCAAGCATAGGTCGTACATAAGTACAGTAGGCTTTAACCATCAGGAATCTTGTGAATAAAAAGATTTTAGAATAAAAAAAGCTCTTGACATAGCTATATATACGATAAGATTGATATGTTGATTGAATTTGAGAATACTATCAATGGTAACTCCAAGATCTCTTATACAGTTAACATGGGCAAATTCATGGTTATTTATGGTGTAAACACGCTGGGCTATGTTTTGACTCAGGTTAGTAATTAAATAGTACAGACAAAGGATTCTTCAGTTGCTATTTGGAGTTGCCAAATACAACTCCATTCGTACAAACGATTAACAACTATGTGAAGGTCTGACTGAAGGCCACGTACATCATAGACTGAATATAATTTAATATCATCAGAAAAAAGTTTAAGTTTGACATCAAGCTGTTTATTAATGTGGCTCACATCATTTATAAACAATAAGAATAGAGTAGGTCCAAGAACGCTCCCCTGTGGAACACCGCTTGCTACAGATACAGCATGGGATGTAACATTGTTTAAATTTACCACCTGTGATCTCATATGCAGAAAATTATTTAGCCAATTCAGAAGATTACCAACTATTCCGTAAGCAGGTAATTTCATTAGTAATTTAAGATGTGAAACTGAATTGAAAGCTTTCTTTAAATCAAAATAAATTACATCTGTTGGAATACAGCGCTGAAGATTTAAAGTCCAGTCATAAAGACCTTCTAGAATATTAGTACAGGTACTACGTTTACGAATAAAACCATGCTACTCTTTTGTGATTAGGTTATAGAGTAAGAGATAATTAATCAGTTTGTTATTTCAGAAATATTGAGTAAGAGTAATTAATCAGTTTGTTAATTCTTTCCATTACACGACAACAAGTAGATGTCAAGGAGATAGGTCTATAATTACCAGGGTCAACTGTTGGTCCTTTTTTGTGAATTGGAATAACGCTTGCTACTTTCCAGTCTAGCAGTATAGCACCATCTTTAAATGAGGTATCAAATAAAGGGCTCAAGGGAATCGATAAACTATTAGCACAATTCTTTAGGAAAACATTGGGAATGCCATCTAGACCAGTAGATGTGGTGGGTTAAAGTGCTCTTAGTGCTTTTTCGACTGTAGAAGGAGAGAAGTTAATAGATGACAGACAAGTTGAATGTACGTTAACACGATCCATAAACTTTGGTGATAAACCATTATCGACTGTGAAAACACTTGCAAAAAAGTTATTAAAAATACAAGATATTTCTTCTTCATCATGACAAAGGGTACAAAATAAGTTTCTCCTAAAAAACTATAAAAATAAGTAAGCTCAAACAATAGTTACAATAAATCCCCCCTTTTTTAAAAATATTTTTATAAAAAAAAGCATAAGTAATCATTTCTAAAGAATTCTTTTTAAAATAATGTCAGCAAAATCCACAAATGTGTGAAAATTTACAGTAGTTAAAACATTTGTGACTTCCTGTAATTTAATTTTTTGGTATAAATTGAAGTTTTATTAATTTGATCATTCATTTCTGATGAGTCTTTGTTGATAAAACACAGTGTAAAATGAAAAAAAGTTTTTGTCAAGTGATTTTCTACGAATTTGTTCTTTTTAGAACATTGACCACTCTATTTTGTAGAATGCATTTTTATAATATATATACATATATATTATTCGCAATATACTTGTCTTAGTAAATGTATATTGCGAATGATATATATATTATACAAAATATTCATTTATTTATAACTTTTTTAACAATTAATAAAACCATAAATTGTTAGATAAATAAAAAAAAATTGATCCACTTAAATAAAAAAACAAACAAAAAAAACATTTTATTTATAAAAAACTACAAACAATGTTTCTTCAAGAAAAACATCATTAAATAAAACAACTTTATACTATTTACAAATACTATATATATATATATATATATATATATATATATATATATATATATAATATATATATATATATATATATATATATATATATATATATATATATATATATATATATATATATATATACATATATATATATATATATATATATATATATATATACTAATTAACAAAAAAAAATATATATAAAAATAGTATATATTTACAAAAAACATTTAACTACATCATCTGTTAACAACTGCTAGATTAACCAACTACAAAAATACTAATTATAGATAAAACATATTATTTACTAATCGCTCTCTCCTCATATTGCACTTTCTAGAGAAGCCACACTGCGTATTCAATAAAAAGGAGTCCTAACTGTTGCCCTAAATTTGGGCTAACACCCTACGAGCCTAGAATGTGGGCCCTCAATTTGTTTAGCAATATGCTGAAAAGGCATTTTATGATAAATGCAAAAAAGCAACTATGATATAATAAAACAATTAAAATTTCACTTATAAACCCTACAAATCAATTTACCTATTGCTTATGTTTTTTCTAAAACATTGTTAAAAATAGTCTGAAAGGAAAGGCATTTATTGCAAAGACAAATAACTGTTACAAAAAATAGCAAAAACATAGCAACTAACAGAACAAACAATGTTTGTAATTTGTTCAGAAAATAAAATTATTCTTACCTCGATTGCGACAAACTAATTTTTTTTTTTAAAAAGTTAAAAATGTTTTTAATACATAATATTTCTACATGATAGATTATTCTACCATCACGAGATAAAAATTCATTATCTTGAGATGGTGTAATAATTATTATTAACTCAGGTAAAACTGTAAACCAAAATAAAACTTAAAAAAAAAATTAAATGTTTATTTTTGATAAAAATATAATTCTTTTAATAGAAAACATTAAAAAAAAAAAAAAAAAACCATTTAAATTGTACTTACACAATTTTTCTTGAACAGATTATTAAACATCCATCAAAGAACATACACAGTGAAAAAATAACTTTTTACATTTAAGTACTTATTAGATACACCCAGACTCAGCGATAATTGTAGATTATTATAAAAATTATTAACTGCAATTTAATAAAATATTCACAAAACTTCAAGTGACAATAAAATACTATTTTGACATGGAGAAACATAAACACAACCACAATAGCGCCCAAAATATTTTATTATTATGCGGGTTCTGCTAAATGATATTTTAATGAGGAAATAAAATGCATATCTTTTTTAACAAAATTTGTTTATAAACATAACTTAATATTAAAAAAAAAAAAAAGCAAAATAGGTATTTTTAACAAATTCTTTTATTTACAAACAAAATTCAAAAAGTAAGGCAGCGTTTAAACCATTTTTAAAAATATATATTTATTTTTCTGGTTTTTTATTTAAACATATATTGTTTAATATTTAACTGATCTATTGTGTTCAGCAACATAAAGAATAATAAATATAAATCGATTTTTTGAAAAAGTTGATACGCAGCCATATTTATTGAATTATATATATATAAGTAGCCTCCTCGTCTGTAGTGGCCTTCTCGGCCTTGAGGAGGTGAATTAAAATAAAAAAATAAATAATATATATATATATATATATATATATATATATATATATATATATATATATATATATATATATATATATATATATATATATATAATTATGTTAGTGTATTCTACAAATACAGTGCTCAATGTTCTTAAAGATTAATTTTAGCTTAAGGTGCCTATAATACCCTACTCTACCCTATATATATAGTTTTATTGATTTTGTCTATATGCACTATGTTATTGATTTTTTTTATATGCACTATGTAAAGTTCTTACAAATATATATAATTAAAATCTAAGTAGAAGGCAAAATTTTTTATCACCAAGCATCTTCCTGAAATAGAGAAAAATATTATAAAATATTACAAATTCTATTATTATACGGAAGAGAGAAATCAAAAATTTTGAAAAAAAAAGCTTAAAAAAAATTATAAAAACAAAAAAACAAAAAGTATTTAAAAAAATAATAACGTAATGTAACATGTTTTTAATATATATTTACAAAGTTATTATTTTTCAATAAGAATAATATTCATAATATAAAGCAAATGCTTAAACATTTGCAAGCAATGAAACTAACGAAGCCCCGCTATGACAAATGTCAATTCTATTTGTTTTTAATAAAAAGTTTTGGAAAAAATAAATCAGGTTGATTTCTAAAGGCGCGGCAGATACAACGGAGTTTGGAAGGATGTTCCAGTCAGGTACGATGCGATTACAAAGGAAGAAAACAGTTTGATACTGCTTGACAATTAAGACAATTACTTTGACCACGGAGGTTGTTAGCTGGTCCTTGTACGTTTTGTTCTGGGGCTAATGAGTTTGGTTTACAAAACTCAACTTTGTTAATGCCGTGGTATAGTTTGAAAAACTGTGTTAGGTTACCCCTACGTCTTCTATCCTTAAGCAATTAAATGTTTATTGAGGCCAGTCTTTGGTGATAACTTAGAGGCTTGAGGTATTTATGTCTCCGCATAAAGTATGCAAAAGTTGTTAATGTCTCAATAGTGGAATGCTCCTTTTAAAATGCCTAATACCGAGTTAGCTTTAGCTACAGCGTGGGCAACTTGGTCTTGCCACTTAATTCGGTTGTTGACAATGATACCAAGGTCACGCTCGGAGGTGGTCTCACTAAGGCTATGGCAGTTAGCGATGCGGTCTGTTATAGTAAACATTACGTGCGAATCAGACAATATGTCAATAAATACAGTGTTGTGGTGGTTGTTAACTTTCTCGTCAAAGATCATGACTTTACACTTGTCCTCGTTAAAACTTGTGCGTCATGTGTGGGCCCATTTAACTAGGCAATCGATGTCCTCTTGGAGAAGTTAATAGTCAGATATGTCTTCGATAACAGCTATTAGTTTTGTATAGTCGGTAAAAAGTTTACAGCAGTGATGAGTAAGGCTTGGGATATAGTTGATAAAGATAACGAAGAGAAGGGGTTCTGTTACAGAACCTTGCGGAACTCCACTGAAAACATCCGACCAATCAGAAATGTATTTACCTTTTACTACTCTTTGACTGCGGCCATTTAGGAACGATGCTGTCCAGCTACATGTACTTGTGTCGAAACCTTACGCGCGTAGGATGACAAGTAGAAGGGAGTGACTAACCTTATCAAAGGATTTAGTAAAATCAAGAAGGATCAATTCAATTTTAATTTTTACAAGACGAGATTCAAGCGCGTTAGATATAATATCGAAAATCTCAATGAGATTTGCCACGATCTGCGAAGAGCAACACCGAGTTGATTACTGTCAAGAAGATTATGGTCAGTCATATGCTTGAGCATGGAGTCACGAATTAAGCGTTCCATCACCTTGCATGAAATAGAGGCAAGAGAGATTAGGTTATAGTTAGCTAGCTTTGTCCTTCAACCTTTTTTATAAATTGGTATGACATTAGCTTGCTTCCAGCAATCAGGAACATCTCTAGTAATGAAAGACTTTGTAAAGACTAGAGAGAAAGGTTGTGTTAACGCTGAACGAGCTTCTGAAAAGTTAAAAGGATGAAACTCCATAATAAGTACATAAATCTGAATCATCTTTTTTCATTGAAATGGAACTCTAAAAACTTCTCAAAAACTCTAGCAGCTTCTCTAAAATACAGACTGAGGAGAATAATACAGTCTTTGATATTTCATTGAAAAATTTAAATGCAAAACTAAATCAGGATTGTGTTCGTTCTGATAATGCTAAAAAGGAGAATATTCAATTCTATGTTGATCAAAAAAAAAAGCGAAACATGTTCACAATAGAAGAATTGGATGAAATAATACGAAATTCAGTTAAAATATAAATATTTGACTCAAGAGAAATAAGGTAAATGTAGAATCAAAATGAATGCAATAAAATCCAATGAACTTGATGTTTCTTTTCATTTATTTAGAAATGATTCTGAATTGGAACTTAGTTTAGATTTTTCAAACGATGAAAATTTACATGATAGATTCAGTCATTTTACTAAATCTAAGATAATAATAAGTATAACTGCTGAAGATTTGGTTGACCGTACTGCTGCAGATTGGGCAGAAACTGCATTAGTATGGTCAACTCTATTCTGTATTTATATATTATCTGTATAAATACAGAATAGATATACGCCCACAAACTTCATTATTAGCTGCTACAAACTTCCCTAGTGGCTTAGTACTTGCTTATAACTATCACCTGTAAATATAGAATATGTAAAGATACAATAAAAAAAAACAGAAATAATTCCAGTTTAACGGTAACCATTTGTTTAGAAACCATCTTGTTAATATTGAGTTCAATTAAATGTTCATGTTAGACACAGTAGGCGCAACACGCTTAAAACACGCTTAAAATGTATAACCATTAAAAAAAAATTTTTTTCATTTATTTGAGTTTTCATGCTATATTTTTCTATACAATGTTCTTATATCCAAAGATATTGTTGGCTTAGCAAAAGAACAGCCACAAATAGTCATTAAGTCTGATCCAAAGTATCGTCCGTTATTGATCAACATTTTTGCGTTTTACTATAAATTTACTATAAATATGTAAATTTGATAATTTACATATTTATAGTAAATTTTATAATAAAAGTTTTAGTATAATTTACAATTAAAATGGAACTAATTATGATTGCTTTCAGATTTTGGATACTGCCTTTACTATTGCTATAAACTTGTACATTTTTTTGTAGATTATTTAAAAAAAAAATCTTTATAGTAATGTTTATATATATATATATATATATATATATATATATATATATATATATATATATATATATATATATATATATATATATATATATATATATATACAACGTCAGGTTCTCATTTCTTATTTAACGGAAAATTTTATGACCAATTAGATGGCGTTGCAATGGGTTCTCCTTTAGCACCAATTTTAGCTAATATGTTTATCGGTTTTCATGAACAAACGTGGGTTAATAATTGCTCATCCTCCATACCGATTTTCTATAAACGTTATGTGGATGACATAATGGCAATTTTTAATTCAGAGTTTGAAGTGCAAGAATTCGTTAAACATCTCAATAAACAACACGAAAACTTAAGATTTACTATGGAAAAAGAAAAAGACAAACAAGTTCCATTTTTGG